CCAGGAGTGGATACAAGTCGTCATAATATCCAGGATGAACGGTCATTTCAGGTTTATTGTATTGGTTTTTTATTCTTTCAGTCTTCCATCTCTGTCTCTGTTTTTTATGTAACTAATAATAAAGTTACTCTATATTTTGTTTGTATGTACTCTATTATACATTACATACATACAGATTAGAAGTTATATATAAAAGTATGTACTTAGTGGCAATTTGAGTAAGATGTAAGATGCAGCTCTACTGTAAACATTAAAAGAGGAAAGCCGTTAAACTGAAGAACACTTTATAATACTGCACATTTCAGTAACCAGAAAGGTGCTGAGTTGGTAATAAAGCCCACAACTTCAGCCCTCACAATGTGATAACTTGCTCTGTGGTCAGGGCTGTCCCGCACAGAAGCTTGACCAAAATTACAAAATATTTTTGAGATAATATATACATCCATACACCCTGCCTGTGGAGTGGGCATAATGAGGAGTAAGGGGAGTATGGCCTGAAGTAGCAGGACAGTGGTTGCAGTTGCATTGTGGGATGGGGGAAATGTGTTTCACCGTGAGTAAGATCTTGTTATGATGCATACACTCCCTGCATTCCTTACCACAGTGAACCTGCCAGAATCCACTGCATGCTCCATTGAGGGCAGGCAGGAATAAAGGCACAGACAGTATCTTGTACACATTCTTTGGTTTGCATCAGAGGTCAGGAAATAGTTGGCTACTGGCTGCAAGGATTGGGTTTGTTTCTGGCAGGTGCACTTGAATATTTTTCTTTATCACTATGTCCAGGATAACTGTGGTGTCACCAAACTGAATCTGTGAATCTTCATGGTGTGCTCAAATAGAAGAATTCTTTCATCTAATTGTATTATTTCATATCATGTGGAAATTCATACTGATTTCACTGGATTTACTGGGACACATTCGATGTACCCAATCTTCATAGACGGGGCGAGTTTGATAAACTGTCTCTAAATTATTCATGCAGGTCCATTTGTGTGTGAATGAAAATCCTGTAATGACAAAGTCTGAGTTGAGGTTCTGACATCAGTGACTGTGGGCGCTTTTGACTTTCTGGGATCTGATACCATGTTGTGATGTAGATTGTTACAGGTGTTTTGGTGTTCCTGCTGTCTCCATTGTCAGATTAGAAGAGTGCAGGAAGTGTGAAAAAAATGGTACAGGCATAAGGAGAGGGAGGATCACTTTTCTTTACATTGTTTGGATCAGTGGGAGCCTTAGTCTTGGCCAGTTTCTTTGTATATATGTACCGTTTGTTTGCACACATGGCCTGCTCTTCTATCTGGACTGTGGAGGAAGCAGGTCTCCCCAAAATGGTGATGATATGCAAGACTGCACAGTGTTATGTCCCAGAAGAAAGTAATCTTTCCTCATAAATCATTCATATTTTCATATAAATTTAAACAAAATAAATTGTTTAGCCTATTTCTAATGTGTCTTTCTGTTATGTATTTCACAATGTTTCCACAAGAGGACACAGATCTACAGTAACTGGGATGACATAACTGGTCATAATATGTAAATTATAACAGAGCTAGCTCAGTAATTATCTGTAATTATTTGTAATATATTTGCAATTTATATATATTCACTTGTCCAATCTAAAATTATTATGGCTCATATTTTATTTAATCTTACTAATGTGATGTACAAATTTAGAAAAAATTGTAATAATCCAGATCCGTTTGTCATTAATTGATAATCATAACAAAGATGGCTTCTGATGGTACAATTTTAAACATGTATTGAAGGGGCTGTTACACCTCTATAGCTTGTATGAACATTTAACATAGAACTGGTTATAAATGTGTGACGCTGGCAGACACCTAATTGGTAATTTAAGTAATTATATGAAATTGTGACTATGTTTTTATAGTAAGTTATTTAATTTATGATTTAATTGAATTTTATTTATTATTATTATTATTATATGCGATTTTATGATGTATAAGTTTGCCTATCTGCAACCTGCAAAATTGATGTTGACCTATTGTTCGAAATAATGGACTCATACAATTTTGTGTATGTATTTTGAAGATTATTTTGATATGTATTTTAAGGACCACTTCCACATCCTGGTTATATACTGTATGGATCTATGGAAAATAAATATAATGAATGAATGACTGAATGAATGAATGAGTTCTGGGGAAATCCTTTGGTCATATGCTGCATGCTGTTATTTTGCAGTGTGAAAGAATTGGTATGGATGCCAGTAAATATGAATATATGCTTAACTTCCAGGCTTGAGGTACTCAGTTGGACCAAATGTCTTCAGGCAACACGCATATTAATGCTTATCAGTGGAATGCAGATCTTTTTGCACCTGATCAGTCTCCATTTCCAGAGACCCCTGGCCAGTTTTGGTAAGTGATTAAGAGAAATTTTCATAACAATTCGTACTTATTTTTGTGTGCTTTATTTAATGACACTGCCATAGCTCAGATTATATCGCAGTGAAAGAGAAGATGATTAGTGAATAATGAATTGGAAAGGATGTGGAAGGAAATGGTTTTAATATACTTTGAGACACTATCTTTGCTCTCAGGTTTGAAGAAAACAATTTATCCCTCGGGTTCAGATTTGGATGTGTCATTCTTGAATGCAAAGGAGTGTTGACCATGTGACGAGAAAGTCTGTTAGAATTTCTTCAGCAACTGAAAATAACTGCCATTGTCCTATGATCCCTGCAGTGCAAGATTATGTAACACATGCAGGTCCCACATTTTTTGGATCAGATCAAGTAAGAAATGTCTTGATTCACACTGCTCTCAGTCTCAGACTTTGTGGAATTTGAAAGAACTCCTTTGCATTATGAATACATAATTGCATGCATACTGCCTGATCTGTTAGAACCAAATGGTATGAGAATAAACCTAAGAAATTGTTGACTATGACTTGAGACTGTACAGAGTCCTGGCGGAGATTCAAACTGAGCACCTCCCAGCAAAAAGTAGAATATTGCCACTATGCCATCCCATCTGGAAAGAATACAAGTTTCTAGTGATGAACATACACTCAGTTTCATTTGCCATTGTTTGCAGGGAAATGTATGGAGCACATTACCTGCGGATAGGTCAAGAAATTGAGTCCTATGAAGCCTCCTCCATTCCTGCAGAATTGCCTGCGGCTGAGGAAAGACCACCAGGGGTATTGACGGAAGCAGGAATTGAGCGGCTGCCATCCTACAAGCAAGTCGTCATAACATCTTGCATGTATTTTCAGTTGATGTAATAGTAAGAACCATGCAGGATTCTTCGCATAGGTCAGATTAATATTTTCGTAGGAGAAACTGTTAATTGTTCATTATTTTGGGGTCAGCTACTGTTTTCACCTTTCCTGTGTCTGTATACTTAGGAGTAATGTAATGTAATGTAATGTATGCTGTGTGAGTTGCAGTGAGTTTGTGGGAACAGCCTTCCAGTGG